AGTAAACAGGTCTGAGACACTGTTCGCCCTCTTAGCAGCCCAATAGCACAACAGTGATTCCCAGGCCTTTTTGTTCGGTTACGTTTGACACAAGCCCTGGCGAGACCTCCTTGGGCTGCCTCCAGAGATTTTATACAGCGTCGTATTGGCTCCGATTCTCGGCCATGATGAGGTCATGCTAGCCCGAGGGAGAAGGTGGTAATAGAGGTTTTAGGGGTGGGGCACACGGGGAAGTGCATAAAATCATCAAAATAACACACGATAGTTCGACTGCTGCTCTCGAAGATGTCCACTACGAGCTTTAGCAAGCTGAACGCAGATGCGGCGACTATAGCTGGATTATAGTAAAGGTAGACTCACCGGATCTACCGCCCCTCTCTGAACACTCCCACACCTGAACCTGATGTCAAGACAAAAGTCAGTTATAAGGCGAAATGTGCACTGTATTGTGATTGACGGCGGTCAACAGCAACCGGTCATTGCAGATTCTGGGACAAGTCGTGGTCTCATCCCCAAGAGCGCAAATGTTTGATGTTTTAGGGCGGAAAATTAACTTTTATTCTCAAAAGTATCGAAAATCAAATAAATTAGGAATTAAGTAAAGATTTACGATATATTAGAAATCTAAAACAGGTAGGAATTTGGGATTTTTATTCCCGCGAAATAAGTGAGAAATCAAATTACTTTGGGCAAAGTAGGGATTAAGCATGAAAAAGATACTTTTATCTCAAAGAGCTGCGGCAGAAACTAATTAAAATAGGATTGGTTAGGAAAGACTCAGTCTGCTTGCCAGAGTTTGGACTTCGCATACGAAAACTGAAAATTTTGGTTGGATCACGTGAAAGAAAGCCCAGTAGCCATATAAGGAACCGCGTAGGATAGGGAGACGACCAAATTTTGTGTTTGATAAGGACAGGAAGACCATTTCATTGAGTAAACTTCAGAAGAAGAAGCGATTACTGGAATAAGAGTTTTATTTACCTGATGTTTTGGATTCCGTCGGGAATCCTTAATCATAGGTGCTGGTAACATAGTAAATGTCATTCGCAGATAGGGTTGAGACATGCACAGGCTGCAAGGTAGTTATAGTTCATAGTGGTCATCCGCGTGTGTGTGATAATCATTCACTTCTGTAGCCACCGCTTGGGGTCTTAATTGATGCGGTACTGGCTTGACACTTCGCGTTCGACTCACCAATTGCCACAATTGTCTTGTCAGCGTTGGATGCGGGCCTGGTAATTGCGCGACAATTATGCTCGCTGTCGTCAGAGTTGTTGCTGCGCCCGGCTCTTCCAATGTGACTGATTCTCTTGCTTAAGAAACTTCTCAGTACACCGGGTGGGAACGCCAAATGTTTGCGCTTGTTGATGGACTGAGGGCCTGACAACCATGACTCCAACAGCTCGCGGCTCACGCGGTTGTCACCATTTGCGAGGATTTTGGCCTCGAAAAACTTGAAAATATGGCCGGGTCCCGTCGAGTGAGCTGCAACCTGAAAGATGGCGACTTCCTTTCTCACCACCGCTGCATGCTCGGCCATTCGCGTCCGCAGTAATCTTCCGGTTTCTCCGATACAGTTGCTTTGTCCATAACTGCACCATATCCGGTAAAATCTCCAGCCTTTTCCTGCCGTGTCATTGGGTCTTTCAATCTCATAACCCGGAGCCTGATGGTTGCTTCTGGCCTGTGCGCAACTCCAACTCCAAGTTGGGTGAGTAGGCGGCTGACCACTTCCCATACATTCTTTACGTACGGAAGAGCTCACCAAACTTTTGGGCCAGTTGGATGTGGCTTTTTCTCTCGTCTGTGTATGCATTGTTTGACAAAATTGCGCGGGTAACCATTCGTTCTCAGTAACCGTCGAAGGTATTGTAATTCAGCAACTTTTTCTTCCAATTCGCTGCAATCCGTCTCAACGCGCAGGTAAAGCGCCCTTACGCAGCTGCGTTTGTGACCGATTGGGTGGTTGCTGTTGTAGTTCAAGACTTCCATAGTGTTGGTTGCTTTCCTGAACAGTTTAGCTTTTAGGGCACCACCAGCTTTGCGGCAAACGAGAACATCCAGGAAGGCCAACTGGTTGTTCTCTTCTTCCTCTATCGTAAATTGAGCGTCTGGGAAGACGGCTAACATCCTAACAGTTTAGACGTTCCTTGAATGTCAGCACCTGATCCCGCTCAATAACGACGAAGCCAAAATTTCGGTCTGTGGTGTTGGAAAGCCACGACTCCAGCCGTTGCAGGACCACCTCTGCTATGAGTCGGGAAATGCGCGAACCCATTGGCGTGCCCTTCACCTGCTCGTAGATAGTTCCGTTGAAGGTAAAGTAAGTCTCGAGGCAGAACTTTAGGAGCTGGAGGATTTGGGCGTGTCTGAGGCGATTCTCCATTTCATCGTATTTCTCTCATAGTAGTAATTGGATAGTCTCGATGGCCAGGTCCTGTGGACTAAAAGTAAAAAGGAACGTGACATCAAAGGAAACCGTGATATCATTTGGCTGGAGGCTTATTCCTTTAAGTTTCTGCAAGAATTGTGTTGAAGACCTGACTGTTGTGCCTGAATCAGCGGTCAATAATTTAAGCCGTCGGAACAGCCACTTTGCCAATCCATAGTTTGGGCCGCTTGGTAAGAACTGTACTTTACATTGTGCGTGACATGGAAATATATGAATCAAAACATTTTACAAATTGATTATTTATTTTTACATGAAAAGGTTTTCCCTACATTTAAAACCTAAGTTTATCCGGTACGCAAGCAATCCTTTTCAGGATTAACTATGGACTTGGAGAATCCATTCCACATGTGAAACACGCTACAGCTAACTAAAAAGCGACCATATAATCTTTTACAGTAGGCTTTAGAGTTCTAAACTCTGAATGTTCTCTGAGCACCACAATCCTTAGGTCGAATCTGGGTTATTGGGAAAGGTATAAGTATTACCGCTTTGTCACCTTTAATATAAAACGAAAGTTAATCTACAGATTGGCGGCTTGGATGCGACGAATCTACTCTCCCGAAACTGTTGAAGCAGAGCTCCCGCAGCTTTAGAGCAGACTCTGCGAAATTATATATCCGGAGAGATTCATTCTCCAGAACATTAGAAAGAGTGCCACAAAGCTGCTGTTGTAACTGTAGAAAGGAGACACTGCTTCATAAAAAAAGTCTTCTCTAGGAGACGCAGCAAGCGAATTAGAGACATGACGCTTAAGGGTGGCTCTCCTGTCCAGATGAGCATTATCTTTAAATTAAAAATAAATCATGTTCATCTTTTAATGTCTCTGTAGTCTCCGCCAGTTTAACATTGTATTTTATATTTATTAATTAGAAGGTTTGAAACCGGTCTTTGCTTCTTCTTCACTCTTTTTATAGCACCAATATTCACCACATCGGAAATCGTTATAGCCTTTCGTTCGAAATTAGACCCCCATAAATCATGGCTATTCAAAAGTGAGCTCGATTGGACACAACCTTAATTTCTGCTCTCCAACGTAGACTATTTGGATTCT